TCTAAGCACCTGAGAGAGTGGGCACCTCCCAGAACATTGTATTGTGCCACTCCCAACAGAAATAACCCAGGTGGATAGCTTCAGCAATCAGGAGCTCCTCAGTTGCTCATAGAAAATCCCACCTTGGAGTTTACAAAGACTTATGGGTAGAAAAGCCACACTAAGTAATTTACTACACTGCAGCAGTCAAGGGCATTTACCGTTTGCACATCGAGGCACAGGTGTGCTCTTGCTGTGTGTCATCCCATCAATTCCAATCATAGTGATGCCATGTGATGGAGATCTACCCTCTAGTTTCCTAGGCTGTCATCTTGAAGGAAACTAATAGCCAGGTCTCTCCTCCCCAGAGCCACTGGTGGGTTCAAGTCAAATCTTCAGTTAGCAGTTGAACACTTAACCATTGTACCACCAGGGCTCCTTAGGTCTGAGGCGTTTGGAACCACAGTTGATCTTTCTAGGGCGAAGGCTTCCTGTGGGAGCAGAAGGGAAGAACAGCCTGTGTTCCGAGGGGCGGGGAGCCCTGGGGCTGTCTTGTCCCGGGGCCCTGGTGGGTCCGGGGTCCTGCACGTCAGGTGGTGTCCAGTATCTCTGCCTGAGCCGGCGCCGGCCCTCCCTGTACCCTTAGGACCTCTTGGAGCGAAGCCGGCAAAGCGTTCAGGAGCACGGTGCCTTCAGTCACGAGCTGCTGGAGCTGCGGCAGTGGGTCTCCATGCTCACCCAGAAGCTGGAGGCCCACCAGGGCGATGCCGGCCCGTGGGGGACGGAGGCCCGAGAGGCAGAGGTGGAGGTGAGCTGGCTTTCACCGCAGAGGTGCTAATTCTCTCTCTCTCCTGCCCCCCATAAAGCAGCCTTGAGAGGCCAGGGCCCCCACACTGGGGATCCTGACTCTGTGCATGTGTCTCTGTGTATGCACACGTATGTCCACATGTGTGTGTGTCTGCATGCGTGTGTGTGCATTGTGTCTCCTTCAGAGGCTGCTGGTGGAACTTCCGGAGATGGAGGCCAAGCTGCCTCTGGTGGAAGCCCGCGGCCGCCTGGTGATGGAGAAGTCTTCTCCGGAGGGGGCCGCCGTGGTCCAGGAGCAGCTGGGGGAGCTGGCCGAGTCGTGGCGGGCCCTGAGGCTGCTGGAGGAACGCCTGCTGAGGTGGGCAGCCGCCTGGTCCTGGGCCTTGCCCAGACAGCACCCTGCCCGTAGGGGAGAGCTCAGTCGGGGTTCGGAGAGCAAAGGGCTGGGCTTCTGCCAGGTGCCAGGTGTGGTGCCAGGCCCCATCCTCTGGCCCAGTCAGCCAGCTAGTGGGGACAGTAGGAGCCGGGATATGTCCCTGGCTGGGAGTCAGCCTCGAGCCCATTCTGGCTGGAGCCTCAGCTTCTCCGCCTGCCTCAGTGGGTACATGCACCTTCATGGCAGGGAAATGTGGGTCCCGTGCAAGACTCTGGAGGGGAACGTGCTTCAGGCCAGGTGTCTGGACGTCTCCAGGGGTGGGCACCCCGTGAGGCAGCC